ATTCTGTGATTCTGTGTGAAAACCCCGGGAAGACTCAGCTGTGAACAAAAATAAAATCTACTACTATGATAAGAATAACATCATTGTTACATTATTAGAATATGCAAAAATAACATTACAGTTTTACAATATACATGCACATCTCTATATATTTCAGTTCATATCACCCTGATGTGCCTGTAGGCATTCTGAGGTACAACAGGAGCCAGGGGAGTTGCAGGTCAGAGTCTGGCATGACACAGGAGGACGTGGGCTGTGCCGATGGAGATATGGGCTGATGGCTATCAAAGTTCATGGTCTGACAGCTTTTACATCACCACCTTTCCAGAGATGAATCAGAAATCTTGGAGGCAAAGTGCCCATGCACTCAGCAGGGCCAGCTTAGCGCCTCCCTCGCAACCCTAGGGGCTGGGGACCCCTCAGTCCTGCACCTGAAACATCTCAGGTGTCCCAGAGACACCAAGGTGGGGGACCATGTCTCTTCTAGGGGGCCAGCATCCAAAAAGGGTGTGTAAAACTGGATGGGTTTGCATGCTGCATACAAAAGTAATGTTTTCCTAAAGCAGCAATATATCCCAGCCTTCCAGGGCTGAGGAAGACACAGAATTATTACGCTAAAAATAGTTCTATCACATTCCCATAATGGCCAACAGGAAGCAGAACATTTCTGTCCAGTTCTTAGAAAGATGCAGATGACTGCTTACATCCCTCTAAGATGATGAAGCATCTTCCACTAAAGTAGAAGAGAAAGAATGATGTTAGCGTTTGCTGAGAAAGCACATTTCTAACACTGCACGTCCACAAATTTTGCTGTGGGGAATCTCAACAGGGGACACTGTCAGTCCCTCTGGGTCATCAAACTGCCCCAGGAGCCAAAGCCGAAAAATGTGACATTAATTTACTGATTGCTCAGATAAAGAGTTCCCTGATCACCCAACCCAACCTTTGGGCATTCGGCCAGGTGTGGTATCCCAAGGGGTTACTGCCTTTGGCAAAACCTTGAGCAGATCTGTCCTGGGACCTGAGGCAAGAGACCATCTCAATCCAAATTACCCCTGCAAAACAGACGTACATGCGTATGTATATGCCCTTTTTCCTTCGGCATATGGAAATGGTGTGGCTCGACTTGTCATGACTTAAACAGAATACCTGCTTGGAAATAGCTTTAGGAGCAGCTTTAGCTTTCAGTCAGCAGAGAGCTCTAAAAGCCAGGCCCTGGTGCCTTTTCTCTGGCTGCCCACTCCCAACCAGTCTGGTATCTGCCCCAAGCAGTTTCTCAGTCACAGGGGGCGCAGAGTCCACCAGATGGAAAATTCTGTAGCACATTCAGAGCTATCTCATGCCTTCAACCTTTACTCTCCTTCCCGAGAGATGAAGATTCATGATTTCTACGAACGCTTCAGATGCTGCATCAGGGTGAGTTCACATCCTTTCTGCCCATTCATTTCTTCCCCCTGTTTGCAAGACCTCAGAGTTGTTGCACTTCCTCCTGCCTCTCCTGCCAACGCTCTGCGTCCCTCCAGCACCGCAACAGCCCTTCTCCTTCCTGGGACATGGCAAAACTGGGACTGGGCATTTCTCACTGATCTCTCTGCCATGCAGCTTCCAAAAGAAAGAGGGAAGGCATCTGAAGGGAGGAAGGTGAGACTCTCCAAAACACAGCAAATCTCAGCCGAGAGGAAATGCCATCTCAGGTCCAGCATCACTTTTCACTAGGAGACTAGGGCTACAAAGATGATCAAGGGAGTGGAGCATCTCCCTTATGAGGAGCGGCTGAGGGAGCTGGGTCTCTTTAGTTTGCAGAAGCGGAGACTGAGTGGAGACCTCATTCATGTTTAGAAATATTTAAAGGGTGAGTGTCACGAGGATGGAGCCAGGCTCTTCTCGGTGACAAACAACGATAAGACAAGGGGTAACGGACACAAACTGGAACACAGGAGGTTCCACTTAAATTTGAGAAGAAACTTCTTCTCAGTGAGGGTGACAGAGCACTGGACCAGGCTGCCCAGAGAGGTTGTGGAGTCTCCTTCTCTGCGGACATTCAAAACCCGCCTGGACGCCTTCCTGTGCAACCTCATCTGGGTGTTCCTGCTCCGGCAGGGGGATTGGACTGGATGAGCTTTGGAGGTCCCTTCCAATCCCTAACGCTCTGTGATTCTGTGATTCTGTGACTCCTAAAGCACCATCCAGGACATCCCCAGATAAATTGTGCTGAGCATTTAAGATCGTGCTTTATCAAATCTCATTTTATTTGAATTGAATCAGTCTTTAAATTAAGCAGCTTCATTATCTTTGTCAGAAGGCCACACACCAGCTGGCAGTGCACAGCCTCCACCCCGGGGCTGTGTTTCCTGCCCCTGGCCCTGTGGACCAGAGCACTTTGGTTGAGATGAGCAGCACTGGCTGGGGCCACAGCTGAGCTTAGGGACCCGAGAGCTTTTCCTCCAGCAACACAGTGGCAAACTGCTTGGGACAAGAGGCTGGGGCAGCAGGACAGCCTGGAGGAGAAGGGATGTCCCATGGGATGGGCAGACCAAAGGTGACCTTTGCAGACATCAGCCGATGTTGGGTTGTTTTTGTTTCCCCGGGTTTTGCAGTCCCCGAAGTGCCCATGTCCTGGGGTGGGCAAAGCACCACTTCCCACACGTGATTTCTCACCCACCGGACTTTTGAGGGGAAGTGGAGGGGCTGGAGCTACTGAACTGGAGGTGATCTCCCTTCCAGAGGACAAGAGAGAGCAGCCCAGGAGACACCAGGCAGTGCGGTACCCACATACAGATGTCTCCTTGCCTTCACCCAAGATCTCAACACTGCGAGGCTGAATCGTGACCAATTACAAGCAGCTGCAGCTACCGAATCCCCACCTGGCAGGTGCCCAGCTTGCTGCAGTGTCCCACCAATGCCACAGCAGGATCTCTTGGGGACCCTCTCCAGGCCAGAGGACCAGGTCCAGCAGCACCCTTTGCCCTCTGAGACGCTGGGGATTGCTGGGGCTAAGGAACAGGGATGGACACACCACAGAACCGCACTGATGACTGCACAGGGCTCCCCAGATCAACCCTTTATTGCCTTGTTCCAGTACAACTCACACCAAACTCAGCACCACACGGCAGGCTGGGCGTGCACCCTCCTCATGCGCCCGTGCGATGACCGGCAGGGTGGCGGTGGTCTGCAGGCTCCCCTGCCCCCATCGGCAGCACAGCAGGCTATGGCACATCCCTGCTGCAAAGCACCCCTCCCAGCCCCAGCATGGCACGCGGTTGTGTCACACGTGGTGGGTCACCCCACAGGCCAGGAGCACGTGGGGACCATGCCATGGTGCTCAGCAAGGACACAGCCATCTCCCCGGTGCTGCCCTGCACGTGGGAGGAGCTGGTTGGGCATCCAGGTCTCTGCCTGCCAGTGAGAAGCCAAGGCAGACACTGTCATAGGATGATGCACCCGGACCCCTGCGTGTCCCTGACCCAGGAGATCACCAAGGGCTCTGTGTTCCTGCCCCCCAAAAAGGCACCCAGGAAGAAGAGAGGCCGGAGGTTCCCAGAAAACTTGTCGGTGAAGGTGTAAATGTGGGAGCGGTCGCTCACGTTGTAAAAGGAGATTTCTCCTGCCTCGTAGTCCAGGAAGATCCCGATGCGCCGGGGCCTCACGCTCAGGGTCAGCGGGGAGACAGGTGAGGTGAGGGCCTCATAGTTGCCCCCGCTTTGCAGCCGCAGCACCCAGTAGCCGTTGTTTGGGGAGAAGAGGACATTGCCCTTCCGGCTGGCAGACTCCCTGCACAGCCCCAAACCCCACTCGGGCTTGTCTCCCACCTGCACCTCCCAGTAGCAGCGGCCCGTGAAGAAGACCTGACTGCCCAGCACCACGGGAGCAGTACTGAACCTCTTGGCGTTGTCAAAGAGGGACAGGAGCAGCTTCTTGCTCCCGCGGCGCACGCTCTTGCGGTCCTCGGACAGGGAGAGGTCAGGGTGTGCTGTCTCAGGGTCCAGAGTCACGTCCACTGGAGCGAGAGAAGGGTGGGGGGACAGACAGGGCTTAGGGGTCTGCAGCGGATGCCTGCGACCTGGATGCTGGGCTCTTTCTACCTCCCATGTTAATCTGCTCATGTCCATGGTTTTGCACAGCTTCCTGCGCTGCCCAGCAGTGGGGAAGTGTGATACATAAAGTCGTGCAAACCATAAACCACATCAAAATATTTGGCATCTGGGTGCAGAGCAGGAACAGAACAAGGGTGGCTCCGCAGCCCCTGGCACAGCTGCAGACACAGCCAACACTGAAAGTATCACTTCATGGGCAAGACATGACCTCCTAGGCTTCAGGGTCACCTCACAACCCATCCAAGATCAGAACAAGGAAGGTCACCCACCATGAAACCAGCCTGAACTCATCAGCACACAAACTGGGACCAGCTGGAGAAAGCTGGAAGAAACCTTCCTGTGCCCCAGGGTATGGGGGCACAGGACCAGAGCCCGTGTGTGAGAGGAGCTGGCACAAAAGCAGCATTACCTTTGAACTTCTTCAGCATGTCCCTCATGCCCAGGCAGCGTTCAGGGATGCTGTAGTTTTCCTTCAGGGACACAGACACAGCCCTGGGAGACAGGAACTTCACTCCCTCGCACCTGAAAGGAGAGCAATGCCCATGGGCTGTATGCAGAGCCTACGGCATGGCCAGTCTCCTGCCGGGGGGAGGTTAATGCCTTTCTGTTGGCTGCACAGATGCAACTCCCCCCTTGAGCTCTTGGGCTGTGAAGAGCATTTGGGATAACTGCTGCTTATCAGCACCAGCGCTAAACGACGCAGGAAGAGGCAGTGCCAGTCCCTGGGAAGGAAGGAACAAGACAGCACATCCCTTAGGAGGGGACATGTCTCATACACCACACAGTCAGGCATGATCTTGGCTCTGGGGCCCTACAAGAAGAGGATGGAGTCTTCTCCAGCCCCCGCTGGTCCCAGTCCCAACTTCACCAGCCCCAGGGAGGACCAAACCAGAGCAGGGGGTGGTTGGCATGGCATGGAGCAGACACAAACACCTCACTTAGAGCCTGGAGGCAGCCAGGGCGGCAAAACGAACGAGCATGGGTGCCTACCTGCACAGGACGCTTTTCATGTCCTAGAAGAAGAAGAGAAAAACCACTCTGGGTGTGGGCCTCCAGAGCCTCACGCCCACCAGCCAGCCTGGCCCCAGCCACCCAGCCAGATGGCAAAGTCCAGAGGCTGGTGGCACTGCCTGACCTTGAGCAGCCCATCAGCTGGCTGCTGGGCCTTCTCCTTTATCTCCAGGATCAGCTCTTCCAGAAAGCACTTCTGCTCCACCAGCCTGGACAGGTTTTCATTGATCAGCAGCAGAATCCGCTTCTCCTCCTCCTCCAGCTTCTGGAGCAGCAGCTTCTCCTCATCGGCCAGCAGTCGATGCAGCTTCCCGAACTCGCTCACAATCCTCTCCCGCTTCTTCTTCACCGTCTCCTTGCAATAGGAAGACACACAGGGTGAAGTGAGGCAACATCAGCCAGGCAGCTGAGACAGAGCCCAATTCTCCCATGCCAGGCATCAGGTCCTGGGAAAACACCGCATTTTTTAAATAAGTGCATTTATTTAAAGAAAATAGCCAGGGGCTAACTGCTGTGCTTTCACCTGCCTGAGTACGCACCCCACATCCTCAGTTTACCAGCAGCAGGACTTTGCCCAGGGCACTTCTGCTCAGCTGGACCTCAGGTGTCCCATGATGTCCTGGTGCAGCATGGGGGGACAGGGGGGCTGCTGGGCAGCAAGGAGGTACCATCAGGTGTAAGGGTAGATTTTTATTAGATGTGGTACAGCTCAGCCCTCCAGACAGATCCAGCCTAACCCAGTGCTTGGGCAGCCTGGAGGAAATGCTCCATGTCTGGAAATATCCACAGCAATGGGAAAGAGCTGGAAGAAGCCTCAGGGCTGGGGAGGGGTGGAAGAGGGGAGCCAGGGAGGACTCCTCAGTGTCTGAGCTCTCGCTACAGCAGCAACAGGCAGGGTCTGCCAGTGCTTTGGGGCTTTTCACCTGAGCCCTAAAAATTGGCACTTGGCTGGAAATCTGAAGTACCAGGAAAACACGCTGTGGTTAGCTGGGACCGTGAAACCTCAAATTGCAGAAGACAAACAAAAGGAAACCGAACTGCATTCATTTTTCTGTCCAAACACATGATTTCTTGGACCTGAGACACGAAGGCTTGATAAGCCAGGACAGTCATAACACTTCCCTTCCACTGCTCACAAGTGACGGTTTTTTCCTTTTTACCAAAAAAGCACAATAGCCGCTGGGCTGGGAGGAAGCCGGAGGCAGCTGAGCTGTGGCCCCAGAACCCTGACTCAGGTATGTGGGGGGAGATGGACATGGCTCTTTCACAGCCTTCATCCCCAGCCCCATCCCAGCCCACCGGACACACAGGGCCACCCCAAAAACCCACCACCCGCTCGGCCAGGCTGTGGCAGGCAGGCAGGAGAGCGGAGCAAATAACTAGGGGAGTCTGGAGAAACCTGTCTTTCCTGCCAAAGCTGATTAATCATCAGCTCTAGCTCAGGGCCAGATAACTCAGTCCAGCAGTTTCGTTTCCTTTTCTGCAGTTACTTTTACTTTCCAGCTTCTACCCCGGAGGGACAAGAAATGCAGCTCCTGTCACACCTCCTTTGGACTGCCTGGAGTCAGGCAGAGAGATGCAGTAATTCAGCTTTTCTCTTTTTTTTCCTAATGAAAATACTTCTAGTTCCTATTGCAGTGAAGCAGAACTCCCCATACGGCTCACGCCTGGCTTGTAACTCAAGGACACGTTGTAAAACAAAAGGCAATTTTTTTTAAAAAAGTGTCTATTTGTTTAACCAGCACACAAGCTCCCTGGTTTCGGTGGAGCTGGCGTGCTGCTCTTTGCAAACTTTTTAAGTTTTTTTATAGAGCCACACACAGCCACTGAGTCTGGTTTCCAGCAACATTCCTCCTTACAGCAGCAGGACATGGGGACATGCCTCATCCTGAGGACTGTGCCAAATTCATGGCCCCAGATAAGACGATTCAGGGTTGTTATTTTTCTCATGCTGATCTCTCTGAAGCTCATTCTTTAAGAATTAAGACAGGCACCTGCCTTGCACTCCTGGGTTTTCATCCTTTCCGCTGACTCACGCTTCTTCACCTCCTCCGCTTCCTTCAAAAGATGCTCCAGGGATTTCTGGAGTTTGACCTGAAAAGAGAAGGAATGGGCTCAGCTCGCCCCTGCAGCACCTGCCGAGCGCCACAGTTCGGACGGGCCCCCTCTGCCCCAGGAACACGGGTGCCAGCGGTTGGCCAGGGGACCGTGACCAGTGCCAGGCTGTGCCAGCTCTGGCACCCGCACCCAGCAGCTGTGCCCTTCACTTCCCTCAGAGCATTAACCCTCTCCATGCTCCTCAGGCTTTCCCCATGTTCTCATTATTTAGGTTTTGGAGAGCGAAGTGACTGCTCTCTGCAATGCCAGGGTGCCTGGTGGCATGCTGCTGTAAGCATCACTGGGACATGGGTTTTGGGTGTACCCCTCCACCAAGGTAAAATCTCCCCAGGGCAGCACCCACCATCCCCTTTCTCCAGGCGGGTAGGGCAGTGGGGCAGGAAGCCAGGCTGCCTCCATGCACCCAGCTGGATAGGGGTAAACCCAGGTGCCTCCACAATTTGGGAGTCAGCAGGTCCAGCCTCACCCTTGCAATGAGAGCAGCTGGGTGGGTGCCGCTGTCTCTGCCACCCCCTGCTCTGTTTTCCCAGCAGTGCCACCAGGGCTGTTGGGAGAGGAGTGGTGGGATCCCAGCAGCTGATCCCCCTGGGATGCATCAGGGCAGAACAGGGACTCCCGGTGCCCCAACCTCCCCTACCTTGTACACCTGCACGGCCTCCTCGATGGGGTAGACGGTGTGCGGGCGGTGGTGCAGGGACTCCCGGCACACCACGCAGATGGCCTCCTCGTCCTCCTCGCAGAAGAGCTTGAGGCGCTCGTCATGCTGGGCGCAGAGCGGGGTCCCCAGCCCTGGCTCTGTCCCCGGGCTCCCTCGCAGCCCCAGCTGCCGGATGCTCTCCACGATGTTAGCCAGCTGCCTGTT